GGCACCCTTTCTCAAAAATACCTAGCACAAAAAGGGCTGGTAGAGTGGCTCAAGTTGTAGGCCCTGAGTTCAAGCCCAGTACCACAAAAAAACAAAACAAAAAAAATTTAAAAATGCTCCTCTGTAACTGTTTGCCCAAATAACACCATGAAAGACGGTCATCTATGTTGCAGTCCCATGAGGACCACGTGCATGGAACTTAAGGGGACATATTTGGGCCCATGCATCTGTTTGGGGACTATGTTATTATACACATGTACCCTCATTTCACATGTGTAAGAGCTGTGTAAGACCTCACCCACCACTGAAGTGCTTACATCTCACAACTACAGTAGCCGGTATCCTTCTGAATCTCTTCAGAAGATTTACACAATAAGCCGAATCCTCACACACACATGTACATACACACACATTCTGTCTTTATGGAAAATGGCTGCTAATCCATGATCATTTTTTTCCAGAAACAGGTTTTATGATAATATAGTAAAAATATTAAATTAGAAAATGCCTCACTAAGGGTTATAAAACCTTACTACACTAGAGATAGGTAATTATCCCCTCTACAGCCTAAATGACAGTTTAAAAGAAATAAAAATGTTAGTGCTCATTACTTGCTTTTGTAGGTTGCAATAAAGGGTAAGTTAAATTTTAATTCGAGGAAGAGCCCCTGCTATCGACCTTCTACCTTAGGTCCAAGTCCTGTTAATTACTCTGTCGCTTATTCTCCTGCATGATACTGACATTAATACATTTCTCCAGTGGACATTCCCACTGGCCATTGAGAACGAAAGCGTGGAGATAAAGCAGGAGAGGCATTTCCGATCTGTGATTCAAATCTTGATTCTTAATGTGATGGGGAGCAGGAATTACATATTAAAAAAACACAAAGTTCATTATGCGTAGTCTTAAGAGACCACGAGTATTACACTCCACATTTACCCTGGAGAGCCAGAGGGAGACAAGGTTAACCTGGAGGATTGAGAGTTGAGCCCCTCAGCACTGGTATTGCATCCAGTCTTGGTTGGGAATGATGCTGCAGGGGGAGGTGCTCCTGGCTCCTGCCAGAAGCCTTCTGACTGGCCCCTGCACTATTTGGTTGCCTCATTTTCCAAAAAATTGTTTTCTTTGGGATGAGATAAGGGATTTGGATGCGATTTACTTCTTTTCAGATGTTTGAACTCTCCTCAATTGACAACAGATCTAGCACTCTCTGGGTTTGGGAAAAGTGCTGCGCTCCCTATGCCTCCATCTTCATACTGGGTATGGAAGAATTTCCAAGCAGAAAGTAGACACTGAGTTTGAAGGAGTCACTTCCCAGTATGGAGCACACCTGTGCAGGAGGAGCATGTCTCTCTTTGCTGGCTTTTCATGTTTGGCCTTTTGACACAAAACCTCATGGGAACTGTCTCTGGTGTGCAATAGACTCACCCTGCAGTGAAGACCTGTAGGCCACTGGGCACTAGGCCATTTGGAAATAAGGGTGCAGAAATTGAGAAAGGAAATGCCCAAGGTCTGGATTAAAACATCTCCTACAGGTCAAATGGCTTCCAGGTTTTTATTTTTCTTTTTTCAGGTGTTTGTTGTTTTTGTTGTTGTTTTTTAGGTCAGGAATTCTCGATCCTTCTGCCTCAGTCTCTGCACTGCTGGGTTTATAGGCATATGCCACCATGCCTGGCCAGATCTTCATTTTCAACCAAATTGCAGAAGAACATTGAGTTGGGTTGTAAGCTGATATATCATTAAAAGTAACTTTAGGTGGTAGCTTATTATATGATTTTGTTTTGCCATATAATTCAGAAAGAGTGAAAAGAATCAAGTGACAAAATTCTCTTCTTATCTACTTGTTTATGTGACAGGTTTCTCAATGTGTACCTATAAGTACATATTAAAAAGAATAGAATTGGTGCTGAACCCTCTTTTGTTGTAGCAGAAAATAATATTCATCAATAGATCCAAGAACAGAGTTTTCCCTCATCCATATCATGAAGAGATGAATTTCCAATGACATTTTACTTGCTTATACTAGACTTCACTAAAGTTACAAAACATTTATATTGGCATTATTGTGTACATCACTGTATCCTAATCATAATTATAATGATAGCCCAAGCCAGAAGAACGTATTTAATCACCTAAAGATTTATTGTCTCAAGAAATTAAAATATTTTCATTGCTCTTTTTTAAATTGGAAAATTTTCAGAAATGATCCATTTACATACTGTTTTGGGGGCCTGAGAAGTATAATGGGGTGATCAAAAAAAGACATTCAAGCATAAAGCAAATATTAGAACAAAAATCTGTAGGGAAAAGTCAAATGGAAATAAGTTTAGAAAGAAAAAGATACTGTAAAATTCCCAAAGTAAAGAGATTGTGTGTTATATAAATGAATGATAATGGGCTTTGAACCAGTGTGGCATAGAGATTTCACTGGGTACACTTACAAAAGGGTTGGAAGAGTTTTATTTTAAAAGTTAATATTCACAACATCCTGATAATTGTATCCTTTGTGACTATTTAAATTTACTGTGAAAAACTTTATGTAGCTTAAAAATGTGTGAGGGGGATGGAGGGTTTTGTGAAATTCTTCTAGGGCTCCATGGCTGAGCCCTCTAGCTGTGCCAGGGTCACTTATGAGTGCAAAGTCCAGCAGTGCTGCATCTCTGGTCATAAAGAGAAGGGTTTGGTGGGGGACCTGGGTCCTGGTGGCATTCCTGGGCCCAAGGAAGGTCTGCTTGGTCTGACTCAAGAGCTGCAGCTAAGAGCAGAGAAGAGAGCAGAGGAGAAGAGCAGGAGAGGCAGTGTGAGGCTGTCACCCTGTTACTGGGAAGAGATGGTGCCATCTGAAATGGTTGGTGGGGACTGCATGCCTTGCAGGCACCCCTGGCCGGGGATATTTGGCGGGGACTGCATGCCTTGCAGGCACCCCTGGCCGGGGATAGTGCATGAGGAAGACATCAAGTTGAGATGCCTGGGATTTTTAGATTGAAATAATCCCTTATCCATGATTTGTCTCCCCTACTCCAATATTTTAAGACCCCAGACCACTTAGCTTCCCAGGTGGCTTTGCCATGAGTGACTGCTTTGCGCCCCTGAGTGTGGAATGATGCTCTGTCAAAACACAGGCTCAGTATTTCACTCTGCTTCTGACATGGGAACCCTGCTGCGGACAGTAACTGCTGCCTGTGGCCCAAGCACTGCCCTACTATTGTGGCACAGAGTGGAAGTATTTGCTCAGGAGTAATGATGGCTCTGGTGCAGAGAGCAAGACTGGGAAAGCTAATAGCACTGTGCCTCACATCTCCCTCTCATCAGCCAGCATCGTCTTAAAGTCATGCTGTCCTTTTTGTGATGGCAGCTCTCCCCTTTATGCCATTTAGATTTTGGTTGTTGAAATGGCCAGTAGGCAGGCCATAGTGTGGTGCAGTAAAGACTGGGCAGAGCATGGCTGCTTTTCTTGTGATGGAGCTGGTAATTTGGAAGGGAAGGAGGCCACCTGCTCTCATTTGCTCTTGGACTGAGCTGCCGTCCTTCTGTTTTATGTGACTGGGCTGGTTGAGGTCAAGGCACACAGATGTGTACAGCAGGGGAACAAAAGAGGTAGGGAGCTCTGTGTGAGCCATCTCTTATCTATAGGCCTCAGGGCTGGTTGGTAGGGTGAGGGCTCAGGCTAACCACCTAAGCAATAAAATTCCTGCAATAAAACTGGAGAGCCATTGTTTTCTGATCCACACTTCCCTACTTGCCCTGTGGTCCCCAATATGACAAAGCTACTTTACACTTCTGTGGTTTAAGATTTTCAGTTTTTACCTTTTTAAAGCTTTGATACACTATTCTTGTTGCTAGGTTTTCTAATTATAGTACTTCTGTTCCTTTCTATGACTATAGCAGGGTGACTTCAAAAAAAGAGTAATAATTTTTTGAGTTTTGCTGAACTGAGATCATTGTTGGGAAGATAGGGTTTTTGTTTTGTTGGGTTTGCAATGCCAGTTGTCAGACAGCAAGAGCACACCCCAAAGCCTGTTTTCCTAATAGCAGTGGCTGGACCTATATACAGAGGGAGACATGGACCACCTGCTTCAGTGGGCCATGTTCCCAGGGCCATCTCACTTGGTCTCTGCTGGGTCTTACAGCTGACGGGCTGTCCTGCTTGGAATTGTGAGACTCCTCCTATCTGCAGAGAAGTTGTACTCCATAGCTACAGGGGACAGTGTTTTGGAGCTTCTGACTCTGCAACAGGACACCCCCCGCCACGTCCCCTTTGAGATTTTCCAGGCCTCGACAGATGCTTTGGCCAGGGATGTGTGTGTGTGTGTGTGTGTGTGTGTGTGTGTACACTTAAGAACAGGGACAGGGGTTGGATGTGATAATTTACCATATTTTCAGGGACCCAAGACACTGCCATGTCAGGATGTTTTTTTAATGTCAAAACCCAACTTTAGAAATAAAGTAGCCAATCAAATTACTTATTAGACTGAGACTAGAGGAAATGGGGCTGGGAGTGGGAAAAACCCTGGTTCTACTCCTGAACAACTGCACATGTGATAGTAATTGGAATCTTGTTGCTGGGTCATTTTTATTGTTTTCAAGTACTGCCAAGTCCAAGAAAATGTATGAAAACTAAATTATATCCCCCTACATCCCATGTCTGATTGAATCCTCCTCATCGCATGGCAGTCTCATACATCCTATTAAAATATTCAATCTTGTTTTCTTACTTGAAGAGCCTGTCTGTAAAGGGCAAACTTATAGAAAATTCATTCCCTAGAGACAGGGTGTCCAGCCACCCTGGACTATTTACATATTCTACTGTTTGATTGGCTGCTTCTCAGTTTCTTCCTCCCCTTGCATTTGTGAATAAGAACTGTGAAATGCATTTTTTAATTATATGGCTGTGTTTTCAATTGAAGAAACAAAGGAGGGTGTTTTCCAGCTTCTTAGTTTCTTTTTAACCTTGAGAAGTTAACCAATGTGTTAACCAATTTGTTTTGTTTGTCTTCTAGGACAGAGCTGTATCGATCTCTTTTCGGCCAGCTCAGCCTTCCTGTTGCAGGTCATGGGGATTGACATCACCTGTGCCTCTTGCTGCAGGCCTGAGACCGGGCTTCCCAACAGCAGCCACCAGAACCTCCTGGCTGCTGGTCCAGATGGATGCAGTGGAATCTAGCTCCCAGGACATCCGTGGAGGTGCCCTGGTTTGGAACATGTACCTAGTAGATGGAGCACATGCCTCCCAAGTCCTTTAACCATCGCAAATAAAAAGGATTGTCACTTCCACGTGTGATTTCTGGTTTGCATCTGGAGCAGGTTGACATATTTGTTGGGATAGGTTTTTGTTTTATTTATTGTGGTACTGGGATTTGAACTCAGGGCCTCTAGCCTGGTTCTGGGGGTTGAATTCAGGGCTTTGCACTTGTCAGGCAGGTGCTCTACCACTTGAGCCACACCACAGCCCTTTTTGCTTTAGTTGTTTTTCAAGTTGGGTCTTGCTATTTATGCCCAGACTGATGATCCTCCTTTATATGCAGCTGGGGTGACAGGTGTGTGACACCACACCCAGCCTTTATTGGTTGAGATGGAGTCTTGTGAACTTTTTGTCTGGGCTGTCCTCAAACTGGGATCCTCCGTATCTCTGCTTCCCAAGTAGCTAGGATTACAGGCATGAGCCACCACACCAGCTGGGAGGTTTTTGTTTTGTAGTTACAATGCCTCCTCACACAATACAAGCGTTCACGTTTTCTTTGTCCCTCCATCCACTAATGGAAGCTTAGGTTGTTTCCGCATTTGGGCTGTTGTGAACACTGTTGCAGTGGCCATGGGGGCAGCTATTCCTTGAACATCCTGATTTCCAGTCCTTTGAATGCATACCTAGAAGGGGGTGGCTAGGTGACATAGTAGTTCTATTTTTATTTTGTGTGTGCGCACTCACGCACAAGCACACGTGCATGTGTTGAGGCCTCGTGCACAAGTGTGCACGCACACGTGCATATGCTTCTGAAGCCCCACACACGCTAAGCAAGTGCTCTACCACTGAGCTATACCCCCAGTTTTTTGAGGAAACTCCCTACTGTTTTTCTTTATGGCTGCACTAAGTTACATTCCCACGTGGCAACAGTGTGCAAGGGCTTCCTTTCCTCTACATCTTTACCAACACTTGTTGTCTTTCATCTTTTTGGTAATGGCCATTTTAACAGGTGTGAGGTGATACTTCGTTGTGTTATCAAGTTGCATTTCCCTGGTGATTAGTGATCTTCAGCATTTTTTAATGAGCCTGAGTTGGCCATTCATGTGTCTTCTTTTGAGAAATTTCTGTTCAGGTCCTTTGCAGTTGAGTTGTTTGAGTTCCTTATATGGGTGGATGGGTAAAGAAAACATAGTATATATCCACAATGAAATGTTACTCAGCCTTAAGCAAAGAGGAAAATTCTGACTTGAGATAACATGGATAAACCTGGAGGACATAATGCTAAGTGAAAAAAGCCAGGCAGAAAGACAAGTACCACTCAGTCTCATGTGTAAGTGGGATGGAAAAAAGTTGAACCTAGAAGCAAAGTGTAGAATAATGGTTACCAGAGGCTGAGGGGAGGAACCTGAAGGAGAGAATGGGGAGATACTGGTGAGAGGGTACACAGTGTCTTTAGACAGGGGGAGTAAGTTTTGAGATCTTGCACAATAGGATGATTGTAATTGATAACATTGTATATCAAAATAATATAGGGAATAAATTTCAAATGGCTCATCACACAAAAAATAAGCAAATGATTTAGTGATAGATTTGTTAAATTGCCTGGTTTAATAATTCCATATTGTATATACTTATCAAAGCATAACATTTTATCCCATAATTAAATAAATATATATAATTATGACTTTTCAATTAAAATAACATTCATTTGGGCTAGGGGTTGAGCTCTGTCACAACACTTGCCAAACATGCAGGAAGCCCTGGGTTAATTTTTAGAGAACATCACAAAGGAAATGATTCTAGGGAGGGTCCTGCGCTGGGTGGGTGCTTGCTGGTTTAGCGTGGCTGAGTGAGTGGGCTCTTGCAGGAGACTTTGTTATTCAGGGATATTTGCCTGTTTGTCACTAAGTACAGATCTCTGACTTGTTTTTACTTCCTTTTTTCACTTACAAAGATTCTCCCAGGTCCTTTTCTGCTCTTCCCGTTCTTAAATCACTTTATTGCGATTAGCTCTGGTGTAAATCTAGTAGGAAGAGATGATTCACTTGTTTTTCACCCACAGGTCAAAAGCTGGAAATTAACCCCACATGGGGGGGTTTAGTGGCCTGCCGTGGTCACTGTGCGATGGAGATGATCTTGCATAAGTAATGCAGCCCCATTGGACCAGCATACAGCTGACCGTCTCACTGGCCCTTGTCCCAGTTCTTATTGAGTGATGGAATAAAAGAGGAAATGCTGAATCCAGACAAGTTATAGCTAGTGACTTGTCATCTTTACAGTCAGGTTTTGATGTTTTAAAATGTCAAAACCCAATAACAGGCATTCCCACAGAGGGATTCCATACGCCATTGACTTGGTGTTTGGGGACTACTGCATGGCACTGACAGGCTGGATGCCACATGAAGTCCTGAGCTCTTAGCTCAGGTGGGGCAGATAGGGCTGAGTGTTCAGCTTGCATTCATTGGGCCTCGGTGGGATTTTGTGGCTGTGGTTGATTTTGCCTTAGCAGTTACCTCTTGATATTGACTGTTGGGGAAATGCTTAATCTCCAGTTTGTCCCCAGGTTCCCAAAAGATCAATCCCTACATTGGCTCTTTCAAAATGATCACTTATTTAAGATACATAATGTCCAATCCTGCCCATCTCGCCTAAGGATCCAGCTAGCCCTGAGAAGAACGACGGGGAAGGAACTCCTTTATATTGAACTTTCTAGGAGCCTGATGCTAATCAGGAAAAATGGAGGTCACTCTGTCTGATGAGGAAAAAGGTTTAAACAGGTACTTAAAATATTTGGAGTTCAGCAAGCTTAATTAAAATGAGTTAAGAACAGACAGATGAAAAAGAAAGAA